ACTTGTGCGCCACGCTTTGCTATTTAAACGCCAAATTGAAATTAAATGGTTTCTTGGCAAATCTTTAGAATTTGGATCTTAAAGATACTTTGAGTTTGATTTTTATGTAATTATCAAATTTAATAACAAGTATATGCTCATTTCGATTTTTAGGTAAAGCTCTAAGGCCTGTATTGCATTTGAGAGAAATAAAAGGGATAATTAAAATTATAATGATAACAAGAGTCAAATAAAAATTTGATATGAGAATTTTACAGCCTAAGTAGATGAATGGATAAAAGCAGATAAATATAATGAGAAATATATAAATGTATATAATATAAAACTTCAGATTTCTTTGTCATGCTTTTTTTGATTATTATATATTATTATTAATATGGATTTATAGGTCTTGTCTGCTTCAACCAGCTTGTATTAAATACTTTTTTAAGAAACAAAAACAATTTTTGACATTCTTCTTAAAGGAGATTTTGCATGATTGCCCTTTATTTGGTTTGTAACGCCACAATAATATCATGTAGCTTAAATGCTTTTGTAAAAATAAAGAGCTTATTGAATTTATTTTTTTGCAAAAATATTTGTTATTTATATGTGTTTTAAATAAAATACAGAAAATGCCAGTATTGTTGGCAGCCAAAGCGAGCTTCTGCACTCAAACCAAGGCGTGGGTTGTGGCTGCGTTTGCATAATTTACAAAAAAAAAAAAAAATTCGTAAGCACTTGCAATTGCCTGAGAACTCTATAAATTTAAGACTTTAACTTTGCATATATAGTAAAACTGTTAATAGCTTTAAGTGTGCTTGGCCTTGTTCAGAGCCTCGGCCAGTGTGGATTTTATTTCCGTATTGGACGAACCACTTGTGGGATTCGAGAAACTGCGCTCTGCCAGCACAATTGAGGACTCCAGGAGTTTCACAATTTTCACCTTCATGTTCTTGTACTTGATCTGTGGACTGTTTGAAAATCATGTTTAAAGGATTCGGAAAGCAGTTAAGCTCGAGTCTACGTACTTAACCTCCATGGCCGCGTCGACGGCGGCATTGGCCGAGGACAGCGTCTGCTGCTTGACCTTCTCCAGAAAGAATTGATCGAACCGTTGACCCGCCGACCCGCTCGTGCTGGCCGCATAGCCCACGGCCCGCAACGCTGTCGAGGGTCTGGCCAGCGCCGTTTTATCGCCGCCCGTGCGACTGCTAACCAGATTGCCCCGCTGAAAAACCAGAAACAAAACCCCCTTAAATCTTTGCTCCGCTCTCAGTCAATTCTGCACCTGTTTTTGCACCTACCGAAAAAAGCTGCGAGGTGGGCGGCCTGCCGGCGGCTGTGGGAGGCGGCGGCGGTGCCGTTGCGATCTCCGCCGTGCCTGCAGCTCGTTTATCTTCCGCTTGCGTAGCACTCATTATCTATTGTTTTTTTCCGTTTATTATTAATTTACTGAGCCCATATATGCAATCACTTCCTCCCTCCCAATCAATTCCTTGCATTATTCATGCTCTTGCAGACTTGAACGGAACAGGAACTCTGCTTTAAATTAATAATTTTACATTCTTAATGTTGACTTTTGGCATTTTGTCGCAATAGCCTCACATTTAGCCAGCTTCGCAGCCTGTTTGAAGAAGAAAGATTTTATGACCGCAGCAAATTGGCTGCTGAGCCAAAAAAAGTAACACAGAAATGCGAGAACGCACTGCGGACGAAAAATGAACGGCGCTCAGAAAATAGAGCAAGCAGATAGCAGACGATCGTGAAAGAAATTCGTATACATGCAAATAATTATTCGACCAATCAGCGATGAGCAACTCCAAGAATTCGAGTGAGCGCACGCATACATATGCATAAGTAGATCGCGCTCTCGTGAGAGGGCAGCGCCAAATGGAGAGATTATCTTGAGTATTGCGCTCACACAAATTTTGACTATTGCTTGTTGTTCTTTACAATGATTTCTTTTATATGAACTTATACTGAGAGCGTAGCTTGCTCTGTTATATGTGAGCCGTTGCATGTTAAATGTGCAGATCGGGAACTCCGAGATAACAGAGTTAACAAGATCTTTAACATTTTGGATAAAATTCAGTTTTAGAGTTTCAAACTAAATTTAATAAAAATGATTAGGCTCTTACAAAATTAAAAGTATGTTTATAACACTTGGCTCTCTAAACATTCACGAGTTTAAAATCAATCTCTATAAAATACTATAGCGTATTTTATTAACCTGAGATATGTTAATTTAATCTAATGTCAGCTTATGTCTACTTATGTTTTATTTCGTATTATATGTATTTTATTTGTCTATATCTTTATCTTTTCAGATGGAAGAATTCCAAATACGTAAGGCTCCAATCTATTCAACAGATTTCCTAGGGTCCAAAAAGGCACAATAATCGGAATTCAGCTACTCGAGATACTCCGAATTTTACTATTAAGTTAACAAAAAATAAATAAAATAAAATATGGATTATATGGATTTTTTATTTATCTGGAGGATTTTTCTTTCAGCTGCCCCCAATAGCTTCTTTCTTGGTGAATGAATCCTAACAGCAGCTGCTAACAGAGGACTGTTAAAAATGGTGCATGTTAATAACAGTCTGTTATTCTTGCGGTTTGGAAGGTCATTTCTCCGCGGAGTTATGTCGTTTTGGAACGTCATATCTCCGCGGAGTTATGTCGTTTTGGAACGTCATATCTCCGCGGAGTTATGTCGTTTTGGAACGTCATATCTCTGCGGAGTTATGTCGTTTTGAAACGTCATATCTCCGCGGAGTTATGTCGTTTTGGAACGTCATATCTCCGCGGAGTTATGTCGTTTTGGAACGTCATATCTCCGCGGAGCTATGTCGTTTTGAAACGTCATATCTCCGCGGAGTTATGTCGTTTTGGAACGTCATATCTCCGCGGAGTTATTACCCGAGGTCTTAAAAAAAAATCATCGAAAAAGTTTCGATTTTCGCACCGACCTCGACCCTTCCCGCGCGGGTATGCAATGAATTTTTTAAAACGATTTTCGTCTACCTGCTGCGTATTTCTGTTCGCTTGGTACTTCAGTGGCATTTGAGTACAAATTTTGCGACCCAGTCGCCGATGACGGCGCCCCTCTGGGTATGCAATGAAATTTATATTTGGAGCTTTTTGTAAGCAGCTACCTACTGGGCATTTCTGTTCGCCTGGTGTTTCAGTCAATTTGTAGAATGATTTAGCGACCTGACAAAAAAAAAAGAGCTTGGAATTAAAAACGCAGCAGTTTTGTTTTATTTATTGTAAATTATTGATTTATTCTTGTAAACATTTATAAATATGTCGTTTCTTAAATATAGCTATATTATTTATTTCTTTAAAAATTATATACAATTTATTTCTTAATTTTGGTTTTATTTGGGGTAAATCGAGTCTGATCCTACAAAAAATTGCCAGAAAGTTCTTAAAATCAATCAGAGTCCTTGAATTCGTTTATCTGAAAAGAAAAAATCACATTAAAAAATAAAAAAGTAAAAAAATTAATTTTAGAAAAAAAAACATAACTCGGCCGTATCCTTGCAGATTTTCAAATGACATGCTCCGTTATGGTCGTGAGGACCAACTGCTTCGATCTGCATCAAAATATTATGGGGTCATCTAAGAATCTTGGTAAAATCTCAGTTGCGGGGCGAACGAAAATGGCCTGAAAGCACACAATTGCAATAAAACCTAAATATCTCTGAAACTACAAGGACGATTTGGATGTCCTTTAGCCAATTGGTAGCCCTGGTCAATACAATTTATTTGACATATGACTCGTCAGGATACGTAAGGATATAGCCGAGCTATAAGCTATTTTCGGTTAACAAATTCGTCCTTAAAACTTTTTTGTTTGAAAGACTTTCGTCCTTTGGGTTGTATTTTCGTAAATAGGAGGATAAGAACCATCTACTATCCAAAGGACAGCCCGATAGTCCTTCAAGTGGCGAAGTTAGTACCGAATTTTTCGATTTTGGCCGATTTTCTGATTTTCTCCGCCGTTTTAATAACGAAAATAAGATATGTCGTTCTGAAACGACATATCTCCGTTTTGAAACGACATATCTCCGCGGAGTTATGTCGTTTTGGAACGTCATATCTCCGCGGAGTTATGTCGTTTTTAAACGACATATCTCCGCAGTTTTAATAACGAAAATAAGATATGTCGTTTTGAAACGACATATCTCCGCCGTTTAAATATCGAAAATAAGATATGTCGTTTTGAAACGACATATCTCCGCCGTTTAAATAACGAAAATAAGATATGTCGTTCTGAAACGACATATCTCCGCCGTTTAAATATCGAAAATAAGATATGTCGTTCTGAAACGACATATCTCCGCCGTTTAAATATCGAAAATAAGATATGTCGTTTTGAAACGACATATCTCCGCCGTTTAAATAACGAAAATAAGATATGTCGTTTCAAACGAAAATAAGATATGTCGTTTTGAAACGACATATCTCCGCGGAGTTATGTCGTTTTGGAACGTCATATCTCCGCGGAGTTATGTCGTTTTGAAACGTCATATCTCCGCCGTTTAAATATCGAAAATAAGATATGTCGTTCTGAAACGACATATCTCCGCCGTTTAAATAACGAAAATAAAATATGTCGTTTCAAACGAAAATAAGATATGTCGTTTTGAAACGACATATCTCCGCGGAGTTATGTCGTTTTGGAACGTAATATCTCCGCGGAGTTATGTCGTTTTGAAACGCCATATCTCCGCGGAGTTATGTCGTTTTGAAACGTCATATCTCCGCCGTTTAAATATCGAAAATAAGATATGTCGTTCTGAAACGACATATCTCCGCCGTTTAAATATCGAAAATAAGATATGTCGTTTTGAAACCACCTGACAAAAAAAAAGAGCTTGGAATTAAAAACGCAGCAGTTTTGTTTTATTTATTGTAAATTATTGATTTATTCTTGTAAACATTTATAAATATGTCGTTTCTTAAATATAGCTATATTATTTATTTCTCTAAAAATTATATATAATTTATTTCTTAATTTTGGTTTTATTTGGGGTAAATCGAGTCTGATCCTACAAAAAATTGCCAGAATGTCCTTAAAATCAATCAGAGTCCTTGAATTCGTTTATCTGAAAAGAAAAAATCACATTAAAAAATAAAAAAGTAAAAAAATTAATTTTAGAAAAAAAAACATAACTCGGCCGTATACTTGCAGATTTTCAAATGACATGCTCCGTTATGGTCGTGAGGACCAACTGCTTCGATCTGCATCAAAATATTATGGGGTCATCTAAGAATCTTGGTAAAATTTCAGTTGCGGGGCGAACGAAAATGGCCTGAAAGCACACAATTGCAATAAAACCTAAATATCTCTGAAACTACAAGGACGATTTGGATGTCCTTTAGCCAATTGGTAGCCCTGATCAATACAATTTATTTGACATATGACTCGTCAGGATACGTAAGGATATAGCCGAGCTATAAGCTATTTTCGGTTAACAAATTCGTCCTTAAAACTTTTTTGTTTGAAAGACTTTCGTCCTTTGGGTTGTATTTTCGTAAATAGGAGGATAAGAACCATCTACTATCCAAAGGACAGCCCGATAGTCCTTCAAATGGCGAAGTTAGTACCGAATTTTTCGATTTTGGCCGATTTTCTGATTTTCTCCGCCGTTTTAATAACGAAAATAAGATATGTCGTTCTGAAACGACATATCTCCGCCGTTTAAATATCGAAAGTAAGATATGTCGTTTTGAAACGACATATCTCCGCGGAGTTATGTCGTTTTGGAACGTCATATCTCCGCGGAGTTATGTCGTTTTGAAACGCCATATCTCCGCGGAGTTATGTCGTTTTGAAACGTCATATCTCCGCCGTTTAAATATCGAAAATAAGATATGTCGTTCTGAAACGCCGTTTAAATATCGAAAGTAAGATATGTCGTTTTGAAACGACATATCTCCGCGGAGTTATGTCGTTTTGGAACGTCATATCTCCGCGGAGTTATGTCGTTTTGAAACGCCATATCTCCGCGGAGTTATGTCGTTTTGAAACGTCATATCTCCGCCGTTTAAATATCGAAAATAAGATATGTCGTTCTGAAACGACATATCTCCGCCGTTTAAATATCGAAAATAAGATATGTCGTTTCAAACGAAAATAAGATACGTCGTTTTGAAACGACATATCTCCGCCGTTTAAATATCGAAAATAAGATATGTCGTTCTGAAACGACATATCTCCGCCGTTTAAATATCGAAAATAAGATATGTCGTTCTGAAACGACATATCTCCGCCGTTTAAATATCGAAAATAAGATATGTCGTTCTGAAACGACATATCTCCGCCGTTTAAATATCGAAAATAAGACATGTCGTTTCAAACGAAAATAAGATATGTCGTTTTGAAACGACATATCTCCGCCGTTTAAATATCGAAAATAAGATATGTCGTTCTGAAACGACATATCTCCGCCGTTTAAATATCGAAAATAAGATATGTCGTTCTGAAACGACATATCTCCGCCGTTTAAATATCGAAAGTAAGATATGTCGTTTTGAAACGACATATCTCCGCCGTTTAAATATCGAAAATAAGATATGTCGTTCTGAAACGACATATCTCCGCCGTTTAAATATCGAAAATAAGATATGTCGTTCTGAAACGACATATCTCCGCCGTTTAAATATCGAAAATAAGATATGTCGTTCTGAAACGACATATCTCCGCCGTTTAAATATCGAAAATAAGATATGTCGTTCTGAAACGACATATCTCCGCCGTTTAAATATCAAAATAAGATATGTCGTTTTGAAACGACATATCTCCGCCGCTTAAATATCGAAAATAAGATATGTCGTTTTGAAACGACATATCTCCGCCGTTTAAATATCGAAAATAAGATATGTCATTCTGAAACGACATATCTCCGCCGTTTAAATATCGAAAATAAGATATGTCGTTTTGAAACCACATATCCCCCTAGGATAAAATGAGGTGAAATTTTTTGTCGAATCCTGACAATCCTTGGATGCCAATCGATAGTCCTGCTCCCCACGAGTTCAAAAAGATATATCGTTACGTTATCCTTAAGAATATGACCGAGTTATGACTATAAATAAGATGTCCTTTAAGGAAAAATAGCCATATATTGAAAAATACAAGGACGATTTCAATATCCTTTGGCCTCTTGGTAGTCCTGGACCATATGAGTTGTTTGACACAGGACTCGTCAGGATACGCAAGGATATGTCTGAATTATAGGCTATCTTTGGTATACACAAGTGTATCAATTTTCTCAGCTCTTTGAAGGACTTTCGTCCTTTTTATTCTTAATTCTCAGCAGGCACAATAGGGACTATTTGCTGGCAAAAGGGTATCAGGATTGTCCTTTAAATGGCGATGATATGAACGATTTTGTGATTAATGTCCTTTTTGGAAAAATAGCCAAAACTTGGACAAATCCTTGTGAATTTTCAAAGGAATTATTTCTTTAGGCTCTAAAGGACCAACAGCACCGATCTGCATTTAAGAATTAGACAAATTTTAATCGCGAGCTTCAAGAACTCGATTAAGGAGTTGCTTTAAGTGGACCAAACTATGGAATTAAGGACATGGACTAGTTATGGCTACTTTTCTTAAAATGGTGTTTAACAAATTTACAAAATCCTTACTAATTTGCCCCTTTTGTGGCGCCTCTTTTAGATCAATATAAGAAAAAGACCCCGATTGGGGTTCATTACTTAATTAATTATTTACGGGCATGGCAGCATCAGTAGCAGAATCGTCAGCACAGGATATCAACCGAAGCTCCCAGCTCGTGGCCTCATCTACGCCGCCAGCTAGATCCTAGGTGATGGAATTATGATCAGTCTCAGATAAAGATAGAAGATACCAAAATCTTGCAGAGTAGCTCAAGCTACGACGCGCCAGACAAGCCCCAAAGGCCAACGTTGTTATCCCAAAATCGCCTGCAATTGTAAGATAATTTATTATATACTAAAAGATCTATGAATCATGTTCTTACCTTGTATCTCAGCGAGGTGCCTCGTGTGGTGGTAATGTAGGTTTAAAGAAATAATTACTGAGTATCCAAATAGCTCCAGTTATACGCCGACGTTAGCTATATCCGTAGTCCTAGACTGGAAGATTAGAGAAAAGTGTGAATTATATTTGGAACATCAGATAAACATTTTTGTGCATTTTTTTCAAGAAAACAACAAAAATCGCTATCCAAGCACATGATTACAAAGAAAGCTACATATATGTATTTTGTAAATTCAATGAATATTTACGAGAAAAATGTCTTTAAACGACTTTAACTTGCACATTATATTGACTCCTGAAGCTAAACTAATAGAGAATACGAAGCAACTGGGCAAAACAGGCAAAAAACCGGCGCACAGAAAATTGAGCAAGCAAACGAACACAAGAGGAATTCGTTTTTACAGCATAAGCCCATGCACTCATGCACAAACAAGTGTAGACAGACAGAATCACAAAATATTTATGTATGTATGTACAAATATGAAACTAACACAGAATGAGCGGACGCAAGGTAGACGAAAAACACGGCGCACAGAAAATAGAGCAGGCGATGCGGAATTTACTTGCTTGTGTATACACTTGTTTGTGTGTGTGAGTGTGAATGTTCTCGCGTTATTTACGTGTGATCACACGACATTTTTGTTGATTAGTGCCTATTGGTCCAAGCAAGAATTTCTTTTATTATCTTCACATACTTGCTCCCATTTCTGAGCGCCGTTTAATTCGTCCGCTCTGCCTCTCGCATGATTCATGCTCTGTTACTTGTGGAAGTGGGAGATGCTTCGTTCTGCTCAAAACCTTTATACCCATTATTTACCCATTTTAAGTGGGTTCCGAATTACATAATACGAAAAGAGATAGCTTTAGTTCTGCTTTATAAGATATAATACTAAAAAGGTTCATTTAGGGTTAAGGTAATACCTAAAAGCAGGGTATATCCGGATCGGTTATCGGTTTTGTTTTAAAGCCTGTAAGCTGATTAATTGTGTAGTTGCCGCAGTAGCCTTTGAAAACTATGCTCTTCACCAACTCTGAGACAGACTTTTCGTTGATGTCAACATGAACCCCAATTGCCAGACGGACATCAACAGTGCCGAGTGCCAGAAATCGATGAGGGAAGTGTGCGCCCATTGCAGGGAGCTGTTCGCCCGGGAGGCCACCGACAAGTGGGCCGCCTGGTGGCACGATGCGACGCCAGCCTTGCTCAAGGATGTGCCGGACATGACCGTCTACGACTGCAACAAGCTGAAGCATCTGCTGGAGCATTTGCTGAACTTATTTTGCATGGAGCTGGCATCTCTGAAAGGGAAAAACAGCTGATTATCCGATTCTAGTGTTGTACAACATTGCGAGGATTTAAATGTACTTCCTGTCTAGTGTGCGCAACAGCAACAATCAGTTGACAAAGTCTTTAAATTTATTATTTAAATCATGTTTTAAAAGCGTTTATGTAAAGTGATTTTTGAATTGTAGAAAGTAGACTCCATTTACAAGTGGAACGTGAGATTATGTGAGAAAAAGCAAGTTTTCTCTGGGCAAACCAAAAGTGTACAGACGAAAATTCAGGTTATGTGTTATGTGGGGACAGCGCTTGCGCGCAAGTTATTTTCAAAATTTACAAAAAATGGCTTAAGGAAACAAATACCTTTATCCAAGAGATGCCTTTGCGTTCTTGCTCGTCCTGCTGCCCTTTTAACACCCATTGCTAAGATTCGAGAAAACACACCACGTGGTCCTTGCAAGGTTTCAGTATCTTTGTATCTAGTACAGCTGTAAAAGTTCAACTGACATTTTGTATTCCGGATGAACCGTGCAAATTGTTTTTCGTATTACTTATTTCAATTATGTTGAACGGGAAACAATTTGTGTAGCTTGCCTGGAGAAGCAACCTAAAATAAAATGGTTTACATGTAGTTAATCCTTAATAATTATCTAATAATGACAGCATTAAATGCAAATCTTAAAATGATGTCTTACCTATCCAGGTGCTTGACTTTCAGATCGTATCACAGGCTTTGTGCTGAAGACAAACTTGGAAAGAAACAAGAAAGAAAATATACATACTATATATATTTCGATGTCTGATCAGTTGTGTAGTGTGGCGTTTTACTGACTTGCTACGATACCAACTGGCCAGAGGATCGAGATGGAATAGAACAAAATGTATTTTTGAAACCAAGTTTATGACTATTAAACGAATAACAAGTGACGATGGGAATAAAGCTTATCTAATTATAGACAGCATCAAGCATTAATTATCTTCACATTTATTAAACCTTGGTGCAGCCTGTAATTAGTTAGGAGCTTATCGATTCCGTTCCGATTATGTCTGGCAAAACAAAATATATATTTGCCAAGTATGCAGCACGTTGAAGTTGTTCTCGTTGTCACAACGCATTGCATACATGACAAATTTTGTTAATTTGTATATCATTTTAACTTAATCAAATTTGTGTAAGAGTATGTAAAGTCATTACAGTTGATAAAAGCCCTGGTCTCTTATACAATTATAAAATCCTTTAAAAACAAATTCGTATGCGAGTGTGCGTGAGGGTTTTTTTTAGCGCTGTTTTTACAGGGTTGTTTTTTTTTTTTTGACCGACAATATTAATATGAATGACTGTCATGCTCCGGTGTTAGTGTGTGGGTGTGTGTAATTATGTCACTGTGTACTGTGTGTGTTTGTGTGTGTGTGTGTGCAGCGAATCGTTAAATGTGCACGTGACAAGCGTGTAATGAGGAAGTCTTCAGTCTTCGGCCCTGTTCCCATACCAGCTTCTGTCTTCACTCTTGGTCAATATGTAGCTCGGCTTTATACACACACACAGACACACACAGACACACACACACATATGTATACATCTACATTATGATGGTCGGAATTTTGCTGCAATGTAGCACCATGTTACGCATATATCTGCCATACATATATTTCAATCATTTTAAGTGTGTTTGTGTTACAGGCAACCAGAACAGCAGCAGCACAAGATTGTCCTGGCTCTGTTCGTCCTGCTCATGCCACTGCTGCTTGCTGCAGGGCATGCGACATGAAAATTGGACAATGATTTATGAGGCGTTAAGTCAAACTTCATATTAATTTCATTTCATTTTCACAGCACTTTACGTGGCGGCTTTAAAGTTTCAGGGGCAACGACCACATAAAAATAAATATAAAAATGAAAATAATGCCAAGTCAAAGGAAATAAAATACGTCTGCCGCTCACATATTGATAGAGAAACGTGTTTCGAATTTCCAAAAGCTTAAATCAGTACTTTCTGAAGATCTGATACCCTAAATAAGTTATTGGCACAATATTTGAAACAAATTTCGGATATTTTCTTTTATCAGTACACATTTTTTTATTTTTAATTAAAATGAATTAGTAAACTTTGGGATATTTTAATATGTGTTGGTAAATATTTTTTTAAGTAAACTATTTAAATGTTTTTTTTTTTTTAAGTAGTAAGTGATAATATATATTATTGATAAAAATAACGAAATTAAAGCCGAATTATTATTTTTCTGCGTTTCAAAGAATATAAATAAATTTCATATTCAACGCCATTTTGGATTGAAAAAGGAATACAAAATTATGAACCAGTTAGAGTATTTTTATAAATTAAATGGGAAGGCATTTTCAAAGTAAATAAAATATTGTTTTGAAAATGGTAATAATAAGGTCCATACTCACATTCCACACACACACTCACTCACTCACACTCATACACACACGGTGTAAGTTTGTGCCTTGGATTGGTTTCTTGGGCCTCTTACCCTGCCCATAAGCATAATCATATTTACGTCCAACAATTGTATAACATGTGTAATTCGAGCATTTTATTTCATACAAGCACTCACACACATTTGACTGTGAAGTGTGCGTGTGTAAAATAACTTGTGGCATGCTTCGACGTGTTGGCCAACAGTGGCAGTTGGCGTTGGCGTCCTGCAACATTTTTCTCTGTGGTTTTTGCGCTTTTCCCGCTCGGCATGAGCCAAAAATTCCCTCGGCCGTCCGCACTGCTGCGTGCCTCTCATTCGTTTATTGTTCACTGAAGCGTTAACCATGGTCAATAAAAAATTTATTTAGACAACCACAACGACAACAGCAACAACAACAATAACAAGAGCAGGCATTCAACAACAATAACATGACGTATACGAAATTTTTGCTATTCACTGATAAAAAATTTGTGACCAGGAAAAAAAACCACACACACACACGCAGAACATTTTTGTTTTTCCTGCTGTTTTGTTCGCTTTGATGCCGAGCATTGGCATTTGATTTATTTTTACGCTTAAATATTTCAAATAATTCATATTTTATTGACTAGACAACAGCATGAAGCAGTTAAAGTAACCAATTGATACACAGATACTCGTAGATATATTTACAGATACAGATACACCAAAATGCGACAGCAATTAAGTTTCAACCGAGTGCTTTTCAGTTTTGTTAACTCAATTTGTTTTAAAATTTTTCAAAAGTGCATTTTTATTAGTGATTCGACTATTATTGATTGAGCGTGTGGCTATTGTTGTATTTCAAGTGGGCTTCCTGTTAAAATTGTGCAGTTTGATTCGAATTATGTGTGGAATTTGTACGGCATAATTGACTCAAAAGAAATCAATTTGAAAGCTGCAAATAATTTAATAAAGCAGATGGCCAAATGGCTATATTTATGTGCTTAAATTGTTATGGCAACGACTTTAAGAATTCTATATATATCTATTTTTTAGTATTACAATATTTTTCACACTTTCTATAAAATGACTTATTCAGGTAATGGGATTAAAAAATAAAAACCGAATCTTTTTCATTAGCTGTCTATCAAAAGTTATATACCCTTTCGGTAACGAAAATATTTATTTATTTATTGATTATTAATGGTCGACAAAATGAGGGTCAACTCAAGTGTTTAAGACATGGGAGAATACAGAGAACATAAACTTATAGTTGCATAATCGACACGATGTAGGTATTTTATTTGCCCGCTTTCAAAGCTAATTTTGTCAATGATATTTTTAGTCGAAATTAAGTATTCTTAGGTCAAATTAAATGAAAACTCAATTAGCAATATCATTTTGGAAACTGTCATGAATAAGCAAAACGAATGGCAATACAGTTGTGAAAAATAATAAAGAAATTGTTAATTAAATATAGAATTTAAATTGAATAAGGTAATGAGATATTGATGTAGCCTGTTTGGTAAGCTATGCTCTTCTGATAGCTGGGGGTGGTCAGTGAATTTCCAAAAGTATCCAAAAAGCAAAGTTTGGAGTTCAAGTACATTATTTATGTGCTAAAGCTTATATCATAGTAATCTAAATAAATGTTCTGTTGTGTCGATTTGGTTATTTAGTTTTAGATAAACATAATAATTATAAGTCCTATTACTATATATATTTATGTTTAATTTGATCACTTGTTAACCCAACTATTTAAGGGCTTATATTATGTTGTAAAAATGCACTTTGATTCGTTGTCTCGATTTATACATACTTTCTGGTAAATGTGGACATCAGTGGTTAAGCTATTGAGTGTGGTGTTTAACATATTGCAACATGTTGAACAATTTAAAACTGACATCAATCAAACACAAACAACAATATTTGCAAACTTTTGTCAATTGGTTTTTAAGGGGACGACGCGTCGTTAGGGGTAGTCAACAGAATTTTCATGCTTAATTAGTTTTAATGCGTAATAAGCATATTCCAGCTGAATTAGCCAAAAGCATAACAACAACAACAACAACAAGGGCAAATAATTGCAATGGCAATTTGGAGCCTTAAAGTATGCAATGCACATATTCAATTATTCATAGTAGAAATTGCAATGGGTAATGAAATGAAATCAAAAGCTGAATTTGCCATATGCCAAATGTAACTGGCATCATGTTACTAATGCTGCACCCCTCCCCCCCCCCTCTCTCTCTCTCTCTCTTTCCATATATTTCTAAACATATACCTCTTTCGCTCTTCAATTCATGAGTGCAGTAAAATGCCTTAGAGCCAACATTGACATCATTCCAATTCATGGCTATACTCGTAATTACACTAATCTATGTATATTTTGAGCTTGTATTCGTGTGTCTGCGTGTGTGTCTGTGCGTTCGTGTGTGTGTGTGCATTTGTGGCTATGCAAATGCATTTGAAATTGACCCTGGAGACATTTTCGGTGCCCAGAAAAGCCAAAACACATTTATTGTTTGATCTGTTGTTGCTGTTATTGTTGTTGCTTGACGATTCGATTTGTTGCTCGGCTTGTTTAATTGTCTAAAGCTTCAAGTGTTTGCTCTATTGTTTGTTTTATTTGTTATTTTCCTGTTTCTGTTGGTTAATCATTTGACTCGGATTGTTCGTTTAGCTGCTAATGAGGGAAAGATATACTGAGAAGGTAAAAAGACAATGCAGAGGATAAGACGGAGAGTAATCCATTCAAAATTTTTGAATGGGCGTCCAACAACAGATTGAAAAAAACGTACAATAATTAATTTATTGTTTTAATTTGCTAAATCGGGCTGAAAGGTGCGTCCCCGATCCCATGGAGTATACTTATAAGATCTATAGACTTGATGGGAATTTGGGCTTAAGAACTATGGTCATCAAATTTTACATTTGGTTTCTTTTTATTTATTTATTTTTTTTAAATTAATTTTTGTGTGGTATTTTTTTGGTGTATATTTTTGACTAAGGCGTTAGCTTTTCAACTGTTTTGTAAACTCCACCTTCAAATCTTTGCTACATAAATAAAAAAAAGTCCGGCTTAATGACATCCGTTCCAATAACGATTCGTTCTAGTACATGTTGCCAATTTTTTTATTCAGAAAAATGATTGTTAATGTGGTGAAATCATTTTTCAGGTCCAAAAAATAGCTGAACATTGAATTAAAATTTGTAATACCCTAATTGAAATATTTAACCAAAATTTCAGTCACATATTCATAACCCAATAGCAGTATGGCTCCGCCTGGGCCAACACGCAAAACCTGCGGCAAGAGGCCCTTGTAGAGTGCGTGAGCGCCCTCTTCTTTATATACTGTCGAAAGCGTGCCATAGGTCCAAGCATATTTAATTTCGCCCGGCACGGGCTGTGGTCCCTGTATCCGTGTCTTTGCCACGTCAAGGGGGATACTGAACAAGCAACCCAAAGAGCCGGCTGCGTAAGCGATTGTAAAATTGCGCAGAAACTCGATAACGGAATTATTAAAAGCGGGCGTGGCCTCCCGAACACTGCAAAAGAAACCAAAGTATATTATGTGAAAAATGAAGTTTCGTGCCATGGTCGTTGTCACGCCTTTGTAAAGCCCATTGAAGCCAAAGCCGCCTTCATTAATGATATTCCTCGCGACACGCAAGGGATGGAGCTTCTTCTTTCGATTCGCCTGCTGTCTGACCTTGACAACCTCGAACGGATTTTGTAGCAGCACCTCAAGGGTGCCGCCCAATCCACCAGCCAGTGCATAGCTAACGGGACTCGGAACCGAACCGGATTGAAAATACGGTTTGGACTGCTCAAAAATGACAAACTTAATGGCACGTTTCGGCGTGTCAGATACTAGTAGAGGACCGACGCCTCTCCAAAATGCGTTAGCACCTTCCTGACGATATATTTTGGCAAAGGCATCAAGCACCCCCCTATAGTGCTTGGGTCCATTCGTCTGTGCGTTGCTCTGCAGCTGAAGTCGTGTCTTAACCACATCCAGTGGCAGCAAAAGAAACACCTCAGCAATACTGGATGACCCGCTTGCGATTATTTGAAAAGCGACAGTCTTCAAGCGCGAGATTTTGGGCGAGAGTGGCTCATTTAAGGGTTCCACATCGGGTTGTTTGAATTTAGACATAAGGCATATGTATAGTTGTTAAAAAACTGATTCAGATTCCAAGGCTCTACAAAATTCGGTTTGTTCTAGAATAAATCAATATCAGCGACACTTTTCTTATAGAGGACAGCGATATTTTTTGCACTCAAGAGACTCCTCTTCCGTCCAATAGAGAGATAGAGATTCTTGAAAACTAGAACATAATTATTTTGTTATGCATATGTTTTTCACAGATGCTTTTTAAAAATCGGCGAATAAAACTGTATTACTCTTCGTGCTGCAAAGATATCTGTCGCTCGATAACAGCTTTTCTCTAGTTATCTAACGAACGCAGCAAATCGCTGCGGCCTCAACTTAACCGGCTCTAATTGCTGACCACGTGATCACCTCTTAAATTGCCAAACATGTTAGTGGGCGTGTCATAGTGTAAAGAAGCAGCAGCAGCAGCCAGAAATTGACGACCCAATGTCTGAATAAACGAATGGGAAACTATTTAGTGACTCACTTAAAGCAGCTTCCCAAGCACTTCACATAAATTAATTACAGTGCGCTTGTAAATGTGTTATATAATTGTTGTTGTTGCTGTTGTCAGTTGTCTCGTAATTGTTGTTGTCGAGCTAAACAATTAAGTGCAAATTGTTAAACATGCAGAGCTGCGGTTTGTGGCCGTGTTTGTGTTCTTGTCTCTCTTCCTGTCCCATTACTATCTGGCGCTTTGAAACTCTCCCTCCGGTATCCCAAAACTAGCTGCGGTTTTGCATTTGACTGACTTTTAGAGTGGAGACCTTATACGAAACTTTGTGTTCTAGTTAGTTGCTTAAGTCATTAAGTTGTTGAAGCTGGGGCTAACTATTTAAAAAAAAAGACTACAGCATGCCGAAATTTAAACATTCATGCAACGAAAAATATATATTGGCTTTAAAATTTAATTTTTCCTTATTTCGGTACAAATCCTTATAACCATATTTATATCCAAATTATGCCAGATGCCAGTTTGATTATGATTTTTATATAAATTGAAAAAAGTCTGTCAGGCAGTCTATTTATTAGAAAAATGGCTGGTCATGTTATAGACAGATGAAGATAAGTGGGCTTTGGATATATTACAGGAGGCATTTGCTTACCTAGGGCTAAATCGATATAAATGTTAGTTTCATTCTTTTCACTTAAACACATGGTTTCTCTTCCGTGCGGCAGTCATGACTAACTTCATGAAAGTCACACCTGTGAGCGCTTGCTCATAACAACAATTATGCTAATGTAGTTCAGTCCGGCGACGTCAATCCAACATAATTGCTAACAAATTAGTCATGGTCACACTGGCCCAACTGCAGCTGCTGCAACAGCTACAAATGAGTGTCTGGGCTGTCGGAGTCCATTGTGCTCCCACTTGACTTGTCGGAGGCGAAGTTTAACACGTTTCATTGTCTAGCTATGTGTGTGTATGTGTGTGTGTGTGTGTGTCTGTGTGTGGATCCTGGCAATTTGCGTGTCACGCTGCACAAATGCCAGGCAGCCAGCTAGGTCCGGGTAAAAACCAACTGTGGCATTTGCCAGCCCACTTCTGCAGGGCCCAATGAAGCAAATGAGTTTCATTTCATGTCCTTCAAACAGACGCTTGTCTGTGTGTCCTAACTCCTGCCCGGCAGCCGGCTAAGTTGGCCCAAAGTGTTTGCCTGGCTGGCATCAGTGCCTGCCGGTATTCTAACCGTGTTCTGAAGCGATCTCCTCCCCCAACCCCGTCAACCTTCAACTGGTGTTGCCTTTCGAGTGCTCCACTTTTGATGGAGTGCGTTAAATTTATATTATAATATTAAGTAAATGAATGGGCTACTTAGGAAGAGAGAAGTAGCCCCAGTTTGTGTTTGAAGCATTGTTAATATATGCGTAATCATGCCGAAGAAGGTAATGCAGTGTCTATGAAAAGGAAGCTTGTGTCTAAAAAATTTCAATGCCCGTATAGCTTAATAATACTATACTATGAAATATCTCAGGAAAGTGTAACAGCTATTAGTAAATGAGATGTGAGATATTGATGGATTTTCTACGATTCTGTAGAAAAAATGAAAAGTATATGATATTTTATGTTTTTCGCCAATGTCAGTTTTCTTTTTATACACTGAACCCATTATAAATGAGTGAAAAGGGTATAATGTGTTTGTGCAAATGTATGTAACAGCCAGAAGGAAGTATCTCTGACCCCATAAAGTATATATCAGCATCAAGCCATGTCCGTCTGTCTATCCGTCCGTCCATCCATAAGTATCCGCATGTCTGAACACAGAAATCGGAGAACCTATAAGAGCTAGAGACTTGACAAGAAACACAAAAGTTATTAAAGAAAACGACACAGTAGCGCAACATGCATTTGGTGTTAGTAGAAGAGGGTTCAGGGTATGTCCCTTGTCTTACTTGTTTGTATTTGTATTGTTTTGTGGACCATAAATGTTTTTATAGACAGACTTTAAAAAGTGATCCACATAGACTTTACCTTAGTCCACTAGGGTACATAAATTCATATTTGAATAGCTCATACATATGGATTAAATGTTTTAGTTATTACTGTCAACTCCTGAAAGTTGCTTAGAACTGTTTTAAGGTTTCCACAATACCCTGCATAGAGGGACGCTTCTCGGGGTTCTTATCCCAACATTCTTGCATCAGAGTTTGTATTTGTTCAGGACATTCAAAAATTAGATCTTTTAGTGAGGGCCGTAACTCTGCATAAATTGAAATTTTAATGTTATTCTTTAACATCTATAATCAAACGCATATAATTTATGAACATACCGTGATCATTAATATGTCTTAAGAGTTCAATAGGTTTAAGGTCATCTTGTTCATAGTACGGCATCTTACGCGACAGAACTTCCCAGATTGTAATGCCCATGCTAAAAACATCACATTTCTCAGTATATCGCTGACCATTGAAAACCTGTGTTGTGTAAAGTGCGTTTATTGAAATGATTTATATACCCGACTATATGAGATATATGAACCTCGGGTGCCATATACAAGCAAGTACCCAGTCTACTTGTCATTAGGGTTTGCACATTTCTGACAAACCCGAAATCGCAAAGTTTCAAAGTGCTTCTTGTGCCGTCTAGCAACATATTGAGAGGCTTCACATCACGATGAATCACTGATCTCTCTGATAGCCGATGTAGATAAGCGAGTCCCTTTAAATGGAACATGAATAAGTTTCCATCCGCTCTGATTGAAAAACGTATGTATTATATACCTCCGCAGCCTGACGTAACCAGCTTATACCTTGTGCAAGTGTATATGGTGTCTTGCTTTCGTGTAAGAGGGACCACAAGGATCCGCCTTCTGCATATTCCATAATTAGGTGGGTTTTCATGTTTTCGGTCGCTATACCCTTTAATTTGATGATGTTCCTATGATCGACCATTGCCAGATAAATTACCTCGCGTTCAATATCCTTCCTCTCAGTTGTCTCCTCTACGGTTTTAATAGCAACCACATCGCCATTATAGGTGCCTTTGAAGACGGATCCAAAGGAGCCTCTTCCAATTTGCTACAAATGTTGCACTCTTTTTTTTACTAATATTAACCTTATACATATTTACCATATAAATGTACCTCTCCGAAAACAAGCTCACTAAGTTGAATTTCTGACATCTCTCCGTTAGCTTCGAACGTATACTGAAAGTACAAGTATAAACTGATATTAATTCGTACTACCTGGCGATATCTTATCAGCTGCGATAACAAATTTTCTTATTAGCAATACACATTCAGTTTTGCTATCGGCTAACAAGATTAAAATGATAAAGTGATGTAGAGTTTTGACCTGAATGAAAGGATGAGGACTTCTGTAATATATTACAAGCCGACATTGATGCCCTTAACTCTTGTGTCGATCCGATAAGTTTGGCGTATTATACACCTTAATCTTTTTAATTTTGTCTGACTTACTATGGCTTACATGAATCGTTTAGAGTGATTAGTATCAGTACATAACAGTATTCTCCATAAAGTTTGGCTAATGTCTTAGTTTAAATTCGTGTTGTACATTGAAAAAAAAAAAATGAGATAAAAGAAAGTGCTATAACACACGAAATATATTTCCGATAGTGCGAAACTCATATACCATATAAACAATTTCAGGTCATATGAACATGTACACATATTTTGAATTAGTTCACGTCAATAAATATTTTACACTAGATAGGCATTGTACTTTTTATTTTCTATATCTCTTAAGTTGTGATTGCAGTTATTCTGAAGAGCTGAAAGCATAGAAGCGTATTGTATATGTATATAGTCAACGTTGTTTATTTTGCCACGATGATAGGTGGTTCTTATCAATACCGCATGTGTTGAACTTTTGAGCATATATACTATTTTTTTGAGTCATATTTAATATTAAAGAAAAGAACTCAATCAATATATCATTGCATTAATTTGTATTATCATGTAAGGAAGCTATTGGTCGGGGTATGAGTCTTAGTCTCACCAGGCCCAGCGACTTACAAGTATTATCAACTTATTGCTTATGAGTTTTCTAAAGTTTTCTAGCGCTCAACACGTCTACTGGGTAGACGTTGCCAATTCAGATTTTTCCCGTCAGATCTGGCTTTTTTGCAAGCCTGAATGCTTTATTAAATAATATAATAATATATTTAAAAATGCTTTGGCTCCTCATTTCTATGAGGATCTGCAAATAGATATGGGTGATGCCAAGTTTAGTTTGCTGTTGGATGAAACAACAAACAGTAATTATCTGCATTTAGTCGGCATTAGCGAGTCCTTGAATTTGTTGTATACTCTATTACTTTTAATGAAAATTACTTTTAATGAGTAGAGACTCACCCTGATCGTTGCACTAGCTCAACTTCGCCTCGAGCTTTCGCAGCCTCGCTTCAAACTAGGCTCCTTGCCCTTAATTAGCTTCAATACCTCGGCACATTGCCTTAACTGGTCTGATTACTAATACAATGTTTACATAGTATACAATACTTATATCCTATAACTATAATTATGAACTGTGGGGTGGCTACATTAGTGGCCGCCCCACAATTATAATTATTTTTATTTTGGTTATTATTAAAAATACGGAATATGGTAACAAATTATTATGTTCTAAAATTGTCGCTTATTTTTTTAACTTGTACCTTATATAAGATACTGAATTAAAAGAGAACGTAGTACTTTTTTATGTTCGCTAGTCCTTCTTATTATGCAACCTGCCTTTTTAGCTGTCAACTCCTTTTTGATATTTTCAGCCAACAATTCTGTAGCTCTCACTCGACGTCTATTCGGGACACAAGTTATTTTTTTCTAGTATCTGCCACTGCCATTTGGCTGGCAGCCCTCGTTTCTTGTCATTTTAAAGCCATTTGATGTATGACAAATCAAATTTGACAAACTGCCAACAGTTGTTTTGCATCTTTGCAACATTTTTCAACGCCTTCGCATGGTGGAGGATTCGCTAGTCCCCAAGTGTGTCCAGAGGGACATGTGAAATCAACGCTGTACTTTTTCACATTAATACTGTAGCATAGATATAGAGATGCAAGAGAGAGGATGAGAGGGATAAAGAGAGAGAGAGAGAGAGAGAGAGAGAGAGAGAGGTAGGGAGAAAATTTACATACTCATGACATGACATGCAAAAATGCTGCAAGGGACCAGGGAATTGTGGGGGTTTCAGTGAATGTAACTTTAATACAGACAAAGGGATTGAATCTCAATATGGGGCTTGCAGGCCACAATTCTAATGATGATGCTAATGATATAGCAGAAATTTCATATCATGTCCGATTAGGCTCTTGCTAGACTAAGCAAACCTTAAAGAAAATAACTAAACACGTACGAGCTGCCATTACATCGGTCGGTGCTTTGAATCCAAACGAATATTGCGCCAAAGTTTCTACTGACACTTGGGAAATAAAAAGAGTTAGCCGTTGCCTTTTTTGTTTAATTTCGTGCACCACATACCCAATCCCCCACATCATGTTCTATATTTTAAATAAAAAGTCAAGTGAAGCTCTGACTGTCTGACAGTCCAACTCGAAGCCGGGAAAACGTGCGCTCAATCAAGCGCCTCTGCAAGTACTGCTGCTGCGGCTTCTGCTGCTGCTTCTGAGCTTCAACTGGGGAAATTTACAAGTCACACACACTCGCAAAGAGAAAGACACAAATGCGCCAAGTGGAAACCTAAGTATGTGGTCGGAGTTGGAGCAGCAATTGCAGTGGAGGCGACTCATGACTCTTGACTCTCTTGCATATCGCATAAAAAATTAAATCGCCAGCGTAAGAAATATGCAATTTGCTCGATTTGTGCATGATTTCCATTGAAAAAATGTGTACAGGCAGCGAAATGATTATAAGAAAATAAAACTGGAACGTCAGAAAACAAATTATAATAAAGATTCAGGCAACAGCTTACATGAATTTTTTTTTATTTTTTTTTTTTTTGACTCAATTCAGTTACCTAAAATTGTGCTTTAAAAATGTATTTAAGAAACTTATTTATGAAACAACCTTATTTATAATATGAATATTAATGTTGAATATAAACCTATCGATTGTTGTGCATGTGGTGCCAATTCATATTTGCAACCTATCAATAGCAATAGATAAAATGTGGAATCTTGCTCCTCTTTAGATTAGGGAAAGATTCAATATATTCAAACTTTTTAAATGCACCAAGGAACTACTCCCAACATAGGAGACTAGTTACCTCAAACATTCATTTAAATTTGCACCTGAAGGAAATTCCAAAATCTAAAGAGTTTTCGTTACAAATTTAAATTACCCCCTTCCTCCCTCGCTCCTTATTTTCAATATGAAGCGCTTAAAAAGATATAGCATATGTACACTACTCTTGCAATGGTTTTTCGCTAAGTGTACCCAAGCCCCATGTATACCCTGAATACACATGATGATGAGAAGTCGTGCGTGTAGTTCCCTTTCCTTATACAGATATAACTGAAAACAGGAGAAGAAAAAAAAAACTATTTTAGAACACAGAGCGCTACATGTGCCGCTTCCAAAAAGTGTACCCCAAGGATATGGTGTCAGTTTGGCAAGTTATTGCATTGCATCGAACCCAAACCCAATGCGCAATGCTATTGATGGGAACGGTTTTAGGCGCCCAGTTACCAGTCGCTCTCTATTTGGTCCTCCCGGTACCCTGTGCCGTGTGCCCTGTGGCGCCTTTGACTTCCATACGCTTTTTGATTGTTGTGCGACTGTCGCTTAACATTCGAGGCTCGGAGTCAGAGGTTGGAGCTTCCAGCTTCGATGTTTGCCGTTTGACTTCATGCATGAGCGACTTTGAGTGGAAGTTCATATTGGGTCTAGTCATGTGCCTGGAAGGCCACCAGATACTCCGCCTGCGTACCCAAAATTACTTTTGCTCTGTCGCTTTGTACATTTTATATGAAGACGAAGTTGCTCCAAAGGGATAGCCAACTGCAACGTGAATGTAACCTGGACGCAGGCTTCAACTTCTGTTGCATCAACGTCCTGTGCATTTACCTGATGTTAATGCCGGATCTGGTCTAACCTGGGCAACTACTGGCAAAATCAAGTTATCTGCATTTGTGTTGTCGTGATGCTATGTGAAGTTTTGGGCAGAAACTTGAGACATAGACGGCAAGTAAATTAGTAATCAATATGTAGAGTTTTTGTAGCTCTGATGCCGCCGCCTGCAACGCTGATCCCATTAGCTGCACATGCTACTCTAGACTCAAAGCTCCCAGAGAACTTCAGGCTCCACTCCAGCTTAATCAAAAAACTTACCAGTCTGATGGTGGCTGCTGATGAAATGCTGCCACAAGAGCTGCAACTGGAGCAGGAGGCGCAACATTTCCTCCATTTCGTGATACACACACATAAAGCACTTTGTATGCATGTCGGCGACTTGTGGGCGCTGGCGCCTTCGGCTCCACCAACGTCTTTTGCCTTGTCCGCGTCCTGTGTTATGAATATAAATTTATTTCCCACGTCACAACACAAACATGAGGTACACACACACACACACACGCACTCCCCATATATATATATACAGACATTTCACACATCGCGCATAATAATAATAATAAACGATAACGAAATTTACTTCCTAGTAAGCCACACACATACACGACACATACACAGACAGGGGCACACGCATAGCGGGATGGCTCCTAGATGGAGCGACAAAGCGCATCCTTCCTATTTCCGGAGTGTGCTCTTTATGAAATTTGATGTTGCCAAACTATTACAGTGCCTTAGAATAGGTATATATACGCCTGATCCCACTCCATGGCTTATAATTTGGTTAATGCGTCTGCTTTGTGCGCTTACTTTGTGGCGTATGTCCGTTCACAGTAGAATATTTTGGTGTTAAACATTTCCAAAGTTGGTAGTAAGCGCAGTTCGCAGTTTGTGGACTTAAAACGATTTGAGAGTGAAAACTTAAATAGATTTTAATTTATGATCCATCAGATAAGCTAATAACAGAGAAAATGTTTGCTATAACTTTTCGACATCCTTTCCCCAATTGGCCGAAGTTGGTGCAAGCAGCATTTCTTGATTTGTCTGTTCATCAAAGTATTCTTATAAGCAGATCCACCTCATCACAGCACCCCTCAAATGTAGCCGGGTGCAATGAGTCAATGATCTCCTGTTTAACATGTATGTAACAATAAATTACA